AACCACAAACAAGTAAACAACACATACACATGTAACTATAGTTGATATGCTCACAGCAGTACAGAGAGTAAACACAAACAAGTAAACAACACAGACACATGTAACTATAGTTGATATGCTCACAGCAGTACAGAGAGTAAACACAAACAAGTAAACAACACAGACACATGTAACTATAGTTGATATGCTCACAGCAGCTTCACAGAGAGTAAACACAAACAAGTAAACAACACTGTATGTAATTATAGTTGATATGCTCACAGCATCTTTTTAGTTACATGACGAGTAAACAAAACACATAGTTACTAACTATAGTTGATATGCTGGCTTCACAGAGAGTAAACACAAACAAGTAAACAACACTGTATGTAATTACAGTTGATATGCTCACAGCAGCTTTATTATACAGCACATCAGTACACAGATTCTCTCCATTCTAATTACATCGTTATTCTAATGAACATACATTCAGCATCTTCACTCTTCCAGCTTCTTCGTTCTCCCAGCATCTTAACTCTTTCAGCATCGTCATTCTAATGAACATCATCTGTTCCCACTGTAACCCCTAGATAGTTCCCTAATGCACGCACGCAAGCAAACACACACACACACACACACACATGCACGCACGCAACCCCCCCTCCCCCACATACACACACAGACACTCACGCACACACACGCACACGTACACGTAGGTATGCACGCACGGACACACACACATACACGCACACATACAGGTAGGCACGCACATGCACACACACAATCACTAACCATACCAATACAACTTCTATATACAAACACAAGCGCACACACGAAAAGGATCGAACGAATCCTAGTATCGCACACTGCCAACAGATGGCGTTAGTGAAATCCGCTCTCACGACCTTTGCGCGACCCCTCCCCACCGGCGCGTGTGCGACAATCACACAAATAACAACCTAGACATTATAAAACGCTACGGAGAGAGCGCGCGCGGCTCAGCGGAGATCGCGGCGCCCCCTGGTGGCTATCACAGTATCTACAGCATCTTCGCGAGCTCTGCACTACGGGGCGTGAGGACCCCCGAAAAAATCTACTGCGTCAGAGAAAACAACATGCCGCGCCGACCGTTGGCAGATGGCGCCACCTGCCAACATGACGTGGATATGTACGCACACAGCCTTCCGACGACTGGACAGTGCTGCCATCTGTGCAGCCGCAAATACACAACAAGGAGGCTAACACAGACGGTGAGAAAACCTGACAATGTGACGCCGCGATACGTTGACAATGTGACGCCGCGATACGTTGACAATGTGACGCCGCGATATGTTGACAATGTGACACCGCGATACACTGACAATGTGACATAGCCATACAGGCAACGTGACAGATATTTTGATGTGACGCCGTGCTACGTTGACAATGCGACACTGCAACAGATATGTTGACAACGTGACAAACACTACTACTGTCACCTCTGCTAACATCCACTGCTAATCCCCCCCCCCCAGCTCTGGATGAATCGAATAAGATCTGATCATGTGTAGAGTCATGCAATATCAGGCGTGTCATTATCTGCGTTCACACGTATACACGGCTTAGCTGGTACCGTACTTAGTTGGTGCTAAGTCCGGTTAAAATGCGTTCACACGAGATACACGAGATTCGAGGCTTAGCTAGCTAGGTATAATATAGACTGGTACCCGGTCGACAGTTCCACACGCTACGCTAACGTCG